GCGAGCCTCACTGATTGCAGCATTGCAGCCTAATTTAATAAAAGGCGAGGAGAGCCGACCATCATAGCAGCGCTCTGCGTGCAATTGTAACACCACAGCCTCGGGGAAAAAAATCACTTTTAACAGAGAACATAATAAAATAAAAAACGTTAACAATTCTTGTTAACCATAAACGGACCCTTAGTAAAGAAAATTTTCTATTTTATAGTTTCGAGCAATATTTTTTTAATATAGAAGTTTGCGCCGCGTCATAGCGCCCTCTCACTTGTACAATCTGCTTTTGGACGCCATGTAGGCATTTCATGCCTGCTCGCTGCATTGTTCTTGTTCTTGATGTGTCTCTTTGCGTGATATTTTTTTGAATTAGCCTATTATTACTTTTATAATTGAACACAATTTTTGGCATGAGCGCTGGGCCGCGCGCGGTGACTACTCAGAGAGCAAGGTGTCCATTGTTGCTCTGGTACCCGGGCGTGGGTGTGGAGCTGCTCAACAGGTGGTGTTGAACCATGACGTTCCTGCCCCCCCGCGCGCCCCAACTGTCTGGCAGAAACGGGTCCGTTTAAAAAGAGAAAAGGTTGGGCTGGGGGATGCAACGCCCGCTAAGTGGTCCGACAAGAGCGGAGATTGCAACCAACCCCTCCCCCCACCCCTTCTCCTCCCCGGAGTGATGGCCACTTCATCAGCAGAGGAGCGCGCAGTGCCATGCCATGTTCCTCTGTGTCGGATGGCAAGCGAAAAGGGTTGTAATGGCCGCACAGCAGCAGACTTCCAGAAGAGAAGAGTGGGGGGAAGAAGAGGGGATGAGGGGTGGGGAAGCTAAAGCGCTTAAAATTGCGGCGTGTCTTAATGAATACTAATAATCAGAATGCAGCTTCGGAAAAAGGGAGAGGGAGGGGATGATAGAGATAATGATCGGAGATCGCGGATGCCCGAGCCGTGGAACAAAAGTAGAGCTAATAGAGCTGGGCGGATTCGGATGCTAGCCACGGGCACGCGAAGAATGTTCCCCCGAGCAGTGTAGTGAGCAAGTGCAGCAGAGCTTCATCGAGTAAATGCACTGCACTGAATGTGGCTGTGGCGGCGGCAGCGGGGGCGGGCCTTTGGCTCGGGCCAAAGTTTGTTCGCCTATTCCCACCGCGCGCGCGCGCGCTGCTCCTCTACAGCCGCTACCGCTTGCCGCCGCCACCGCCGCCGCCGTCTCGACTAGTAGAGCAGCAGTTCACAGAACGCGCGGCGGCGACTGCACGACTTGACTCCGCGCCGTCGAGAGAACCCCCTGGCCCAGACTAGTACTGCTCTCTCGCTCACTCTTACACACGCAGAAGGGGGGCAAAACATGTCTCCCCACTCACTCACTCACTCACTCACTCTCTCTCTCTCTCTCACACACACGCGCGCGCGCTCTTCAGCACAAGAAGTGGGGACGACGCAACGGTGCAGGAAACGAGCGCACCGATTTGAAAACGACGACGCTGCCGCCGACTGTACGACGGCAAGCCCCCCCTTGCCCACCTCACCCCCCAAGGCGCGCGCGCGCGTTCCAAACCCCCCAAACCTCATTACGTCTCAATAAGTCCGGATCGGTTTAGTCGAGCGCGAAGCACGGCAGAGGCCCTCTTCCCCGGCGGCAGCAGGGGCCGCCGTACGTGGTCTGGCTCCGTCCGTGCGGCGTGGCCTAGCGTGGCGCCGGTCCGTTACGGGCTTCGCGGAATGGCACGGCGATTTGCTTTCGGGAGGAGG